GTGTAAACTGTGAGTCTTCACGCTTTATGTTTCCGCCCATGCGCAGACAGACCGATCGTAGGATGCATAGCATCGAAGCCGTTGATACAATTATGATAAAGCTATTAACGTGTAACGAATTAGAGACAAATTAATGTGCTTTTTATTTGGAACGAGCGTGAAACGCTTCATTATCCACCGGATCTAGGCGATAATGCCGAATTTTGTAGTCCTAGAAAAGTCAGGGCTGGTCGAACTCGGAGTTTTGTGCCAAAAAGTTTACTCAAACACGCGAAACGTATCTTTCCAATGACAGAAATGTGTGTTTAGAGAATATATTCATTCCTGTATATATATATTCTCAAACAAAGATTAGTAAAATAAAAAAAAGTTTAGTAATGCAACATTATCGATACTTTACGGAATATTCGATTGTTTGTGTTTTTTGCGTAGTGTAAAACGCTGTTCTGTAAGTATATTATTCGCATAAATGTAATTCTTTAGCCGATTAATGGGAGAAAGAGATTACAAAATTAGAGATACCTTTTTTCACATCGTTTCAAATATGAATACGGTAATTCAGGTATGTAATTGCTGTATGCTCGCTCTTATCTCGACACCTTCATTAATCTCGTTTACTTCAGTAACGAAGAAAAACCTTGTTATCGGGAAACGGTCCGCCGTTAAAAACTCGTAACGTAACGCTAATTCCAGTTGCACTGCGTGCAAAATCCTACGGTTTTTTTTTTACGCGTGGGAAATACATATTAAAGGGGACATCCAGACGAAGTGCATGCACTTCGCCAAGTTGCCGCCTCTCCTTGCACCGCCCTGGCTCGACTCACAGCCCTGATAATGACGACGCTCGAGCAACAAACTCACACAAAGAACCTAGCTTGTAAGGGGGCAAACAATAATTATCACGCCGTCGTAAGTCTCGTATATATCGTAGCGAAATCCCGTTACACGCCCGCCACAAAAGCCGGCCGCGACGCGCGGATAATATTATTATTAATTGTTATTGTTGAAACTACGATTAGAGAGACTAAAAGAGAATATTAGAGCGATCGGCCAGTTCGTTTCTGGCGGGCCGGTTTCTTTTGTGGTTCGGCCGACGGTCCTCATTATGTTCCTGTACATAGGTATACATAAACGAAAAGATGTAACCCGCTTAGATATGACCGTACACAGTTATTATCGGAAGGAAAGAAAGTCGGCGCGCGACGACAGTCTATCCTCTCTTCTTCTTCTACGTATTTCCACTTAAAATAAGACGATTGCTTTTCGGATTTTCAGAAAGTTTCTACTTTTATGCGTGCGTCTGTTACTTGTCCGAAGCAATGGCACTTTCTCCTTAATTTTCAGATACGACAGTATTGTATCATAATATAGTGATATTGATAATCAAGTGATGTATTTTATTTATTGATATAATTGACGCAATATGTGACTTATTGCAAGTTTTATTATCATCTGGTTTTAAGTAAAATTTATAGTTACAAACTTTTACAAAGTGGAGCAGGTTTTGGTGTAAAGCACAGCAAATCTGTCACAGTTTCCTTGTAAAAACTTTCACTGCTTGGAAGCAAATTGCGGACTCATGTTCTCACTATACATTTCGTGTTAAATGTGGCCGTTTAATTGACGCCAAATTAATCATCAATTTTGAATCAGAGAGCTGCGATTTGCGCTAAGTAAATAATAAAAATATCTTGATATTGTTATTGACGGAAAAAATATTTTTTTCTCTAATTGTGTCACTGAAAAATTAAGGAGGAAATGTTAAAATTACTTCGACGCGATTCAATAATCAAGATCTTGAAAGAGATGTTACGAGTTTGCCGATTGATATTCGACGAGTAAAAGGAAACATATAAGTCGAATGCGATTACGATTACAACTATGGCAAAACCTCTCCTTTATATCGATAGGATTAAGGGGGCAAGGCACATCAGACTATGTGAGAGCTGCGAATCGCTTTTAATGTGCATCATAACTCGCTACGTAGTGTTAATCTAAATGTCGCTACATTTAATATGTAAGTATAGATTGTGTTTTAACTTGTAAAAACAAAACGGCGAAAAACCTTCATTTATCACTTGGAAAGAATATTGTCAATTAAGAATAAAGTCCAGTTAAAACTATTAAACAGACGATCCTTTATACCACATTTTTCGGTTCAGACAAGTATGTTTCACCCACTTTACATTATACGGTCTTTATATATTTCCCTTATTGTGATAAATTATCTAGGCTCAAATGTATGAATAAAAAGGAGAGAAGTATAGTATTTTGTATTAGCCTACTTGTATTATCTCATACCCTTAAGTTGTTTACACATGATTATAAAATATAAAGAGATAGCACATATAATAGATATTTATTATTTGAAACATTACGCGCACGGAAAGAACGTTTTTGCTGAAAGATTTAAAAATTGTGCCAGATACAGATCTGAAAATAAATTTTGTTGGACATTCAAAATTTATCAATTTATCAATTACTCGATTTGGAGGCATGGATCGTCAAAACTTTTTGCTGTGATATGAAAAAGATCGAGTGCTCTATTGATAAATTTTGATTGTCCAACAAAATTTATTTTCAAATCTGTACCTGACACAATTTTCAGATCTTTCAGCAAAAATGTTCTTTCCGTGCAGCAATATATAATTATATATATTATCTTTCTAAATTCAGATTGTTGAATGTGAAATGGTATTTATATATGAATAGTATATATGAATTGATTATGAGTTTAAAGAGATTATAGATATAGAAATACTTTCATATAAATTTTATAACTTACTGGTTCATATAAATACAAATCTAGTTATAAACAAATAAAAAAAAATGTTCGATAACATTTTCAACATTTATTAAATGTTTTATTAAAGCGGATTTTAGCCTTGGATTATAAAAAAGACTCCAACTGGCTTGGTTTGTTTTTTTAGCCTCGGCGCGAGGTATTTCTCGCGCATGGAAAAAATTTCAATCTCTTAATTCGGCCAATCATCGCCGCGATATCTCACGAATATCGCGCTGTAAAGCGCGCAGGCGTTTCCAATTAATTCAGTTTACCGTGAGTGCAATAAAGTCTAATTACGACGGCAAACTGCCCGTGCTAAATCGTCACAGGCACTTTCCGAGAGTGCACTGCGCCTGGCTACGATATTTCATTTGCAGGCGAGTACGTATAATTTTTGAACTGGGAACAAATAAAAATGGTTAGAAGAGCACCGAATCGCGAAGGTGATACTGGAACGTAAAAAAAAAAGGAGGAAAAAAATGTATGAACACATTGATGAAACGACAAGAGACAAGCACAGTACAAATGTACTAGGTACGCGATCTCGATTTAATATTTCACTAATAAATCGCTAATTTATACCGTAAATAATTATTATATCTTGTGTAATGCATATAGAATTTCTACTTCGTTATGAGTGATCGTTGTTTTATTTTTTTTACCCGTTGCAGCTTCTTAAAATTCTACGCGTTAAAGCGCTCGAAAATATGATAAATACGTATGTATATCTGTTTAATAAATATTAAAATCAATTTTATCCTATAAAATTATTATAATATGAGACAAATGTTTAACAATACGATTATGAAATTTAATTTTCAGTAACAATGCATTCTATGCTCTTTCACGATTTATATCATCGATGATTAATAAAACAAATCAAATTTATGCAAAAAAATGAATATCTTAAATGTTGCAAATACACAAACGTAAAAATTTATAAACAAAAATATCCGTAAATGTCGTTTTTTTTTTTTTGTTACGAATGTACGTATTAATGTTATTTTGTATACACCGCTCGTACATTGTCGCACTGTGTTATTTATTTAATTCTCACATTTTGTATGTTTGTGCAAAATTCTCATTTAGTTGAAAAATATTTTTAGTCAAACATAATAAACTCGATATCGTAAAATAATATTAAGTTATTGTTTCGTAATTATGAATATCTAATTAACAAAAATTTTCCAACATGCAAATATAAAAATAATGGAAACTAAAGTTTTCATACCATGGACACATTATAATAACGTCATATTTATAATTAATTCATTTACGGACTTTTAACTTATTTTTCTTTTATGAATATAAGATAAAAATATGTAATTAAATTTGTATATGTGTACGTTTTTAATTATACAATTATATACACATTTAGATAGCAATTGTGAAAACTTCCTACTACAATTTGTACCATCCGCTGCAAATTCCGTTCTAAAATACTACACATCAGTTTTATCGAAGAATCAATCAATACAGAAAACCCGCACTTAATTACGCGTATTACGAAATAAGAGCGAACTCATAGACTTTTCGCTCTTAAACATCACGGATTTATATCATCAATTTGGCACAGTAGTATTTGAAGCACAAACGCGACATAAAATTCACTTTATATCATTATAAGTTTTAAATCAAGCAATAGTTCAAGATTTTTATAATTATTATAAGAATTATAATAAAATTGCAGTGAGAAAAGTTTTGTACAAATAATTGTATTAATGATTAATAGAATTTTTCGTTTTATCGACGAAATGCGTATCCCAAATCATACTCTGACAATTTACACTTGTACAAAATTATTTAGTTTATCAATGAGATTAAATAAAAAATATATTTATGTATAATTTATGTATAATACATTAAAAATATTTTGAGCATTATATTTTCAAAATCCATATCTTAATAATTTTAGTTTTTAAGTTAAATTTTTTATAATTAATGTGTTTATATACATACATTTAAAAAATTTTGTAATTTTATTTGATTTAAAAATAATTGCATACATAATATACATATAAAATTTGAAATTTAATCGAATAATTTTATAGTTTGTACTATTTATTTCAAAAAAAGGAAAGTCTGTAAACAAGTATACAATTGTCAAAGCATGGTTTTTTGCAATTATATAATATAGATAACACAAATGTAGATATTGGCAGATAAATAACATGAAATTATTTTATACAATTACATAATCAATAAATTCACTCACCGATCGATGAATCCGAGTTAAGTATACCTTCCAATTGTACCTAGGAAAATTAACACATATTTTAGCTATAAATTATCATACATTGTATGTATGTCGATTATTACATATTATTTAATTATTTCCATTTTCATTAAAACATAAACTATATACAGTAAATTGTGTGAATAATAATTTCCCAATTTTAATGAATATTCAATAACTGCTCCAATAAATTTTAATGTCTTTTTAAAAATTTTAATAGATATGATTGATAAATACAGATTATGTATGTATTATGTTACATAATTATATATATTTTTAAATAATAAAAAATAATTTTACTAGCTAGTGTATTGAAATTTGTTCCACATTCTACAGACTTTGTCTTAGAATGCTTTGTATCAGTTTGCTAATTGTTGTATTTTATATACGTCAAATGAAATGTCTGGGAAAATTAATACATTTTGCTTATTATGAATTATCAAACATTTTGTATATATCGATTATTATTATATCATTTAACTGTTTTTATTTGAATTAAAGCGTAATTATATGCAATAAATTACGTAATCAGATAATTGTAATAAATATTTAATAAATGTGTTAGTGAATAATTTTGAAAAATATTTTTAAAACTCTTAATAAATATTTCATAAAACATAACTTTTTTAATTATACCTGTGTGTGCTATCTCAATTATGTACATTATATAAATAATGAGTAATTATGCAGAATACCCACGTCACCTCCGATTTTGACCCAACTAGTCTCATTCGATGCGTTTTTTCTTTTAAAAAAACTTTTTCCTTTCACTAAATTGTCGCTCTGTCCCAGGAGACGAGATATTAAGCGTCAAAGTTCACGACTTTTCAGGTTAAAAAACCTGTCACTTTGACGAATTATAGCGATGTGAGCATACGCTGCGGTCAGGCGCGCATACGATGTAACAGAATTGTGCGCGAAGTATAAAATATATTTCCGATAATCATTAATTGCAAGTCGCAAACCTATATAAAATAGTATAATTATGGACCTTGCTTTGCGTAGACACAGGGTATTCC